ACTATTGGCAGGTGATAGAACCATAAAGAGACGGAAATTGGTAAGCAGTTTTAGGTAATCATAAAGAGTCTGCACTTTCCAGTGGATATCCACGCCCGAACCAGGCTGCACGCTTTCCTGAACTCAGGCCCACGAGCATGGATGATTGTCCTGAGGGTTGAAAAAGAGACACACACACAAAGAGACCTTTGCTCATTTACCAGAGTAAATGGCAACTTTATTAAACTCAAGTCGGGTATATATACCAGTGGGCTAGAGGGATCGAAAATGCAAGGCCTCCTCCCATCCAGGAGCAGGAGGAGAAGATTAAAGCTTCCCGGCCCCTCGGGCAGGGTCAGCTAGGGGAGGCAGGTTATTGGCCCACTGCTAAGACCTTGAATACAAGTGGAATCACCATAACAAAGAGAACCAGGTTCTTGCTAAGTTATCCCCTCAAGCCAGAGCTAGTGCAGAGTCTCCAGGGAACCGGAGGTCACACGGCCCTGCGAATCACCAGGAGAAGGGAAAAACCTTGGTAGCTACAAGTCTCCCTTTTTATATATATAAAATATGATGAGTAGCAGCTGTCTTAGGCATGTCGGTCGTTGGGTCAGTTCTCTAAACCTGTCTACGGGAATGTGTTCAGGTCCAAACGCACCCCTTGACTTAGGCGAGACCGCCCCCCCCCGTGCAATAAATCCGTCATTGCTTCACTAGTCATACATAGAATCCAGCCACATTTAGGCTGAAAGATACTCCAAGGTCAACGCCTACTAGGGCCAGGCCGTGGCGAACCTGAAGCCACTGGCCAGGAGAAGACACTCCAGCGTATGCATGCATAAGCATTCCTGGAAGAGACAGTGCTTGCACAATATCTGAAACATTGGCTCAGAATAGCGCCCTTGAGTAGGGCTACAGCACCGGCAAATGGGACCCCTGGTATGACTAGCCAAACTAAATTAGAGCCAATTAGCAATTTTGTATTCCGGGGTCCGAGAAAAAGCAGCAAAATCTTAACCTGCGACCAGCAGAGGTTAAAATCCTCACCCAGTTGTAAAGATTGACTACAACGTCCAATCGTGAATTTAGATACTTTGAATAGTATGGTAATTCTGTGTATCTGGCAAGGTTTTAGCCTTGAGCACCCAAAGCTGCTATCAGGGCAGGGGAAGTAGCTGTTTTCCCCTCAGGGGGTCAAGCAGCCTTGGCTGAAAGGGACAGATCAGGCAGAGAGACAGAAAGCTGAGAAAGGGGTAAAATCAGGCACTGGATCATCTCTCAGGAATCTGCCAACTCCGCTGCTGCCTCCGCCGTCGTGTCCGTGGGGTCTCTTGATCTCGCCTTGTCCTCAGGTTTCTGAACAGAGGAATCCACGGTCCGCACCAGACGTTCAGGGACCGAGATCGGGAGCTCTGCATCCTGTGGAAATACGCAAACCGCTCCTCTTCCCCAAATTAAGACCTGGTCCGGACCACACCAAGTGCCGTTTGCCAGATTTTTCCATTTTACTAAGGGCTTCCTGGGGGAGGTAAGTTGCCAATGATTCTCAGCAGCCGTACGGGAGCCAGCATCCACAGTCAGAAAGTTTAAAATGTATAAAATGAACGATAGATGCTCTCTGCACAGATGAATAAAATCATCCAGGTCCTTGTTTCTATGCAGGCGCAAAACTTCCTGGCAAGACCTGTTAGCATTTTCATAGGCTAATAGCTTTACTGCTGGCAAGTAAGAATTAATATCCCCAAGAGTACGGCTGCCCACCTCTAAGAGGCGGTTTATAAATGCAGAATAAGACTCTGTAGGTCCCTGTACTATTTTTGAGAGTAGTTCTCCTGTTCCTTCAACCAGTAGAGACGCCCAGGCCTTTATCGCCGCGGTAGCCACTAGAGCGCAAACTGCGGGATCGTAAGTGGTTTGCACTGTGAGATCAGAATATTGACCCCCTGTAAGTAACACATCAAGGTCATGCTGGGAGAAACTGGCGGAGGCATTAAGCTCCCCGGATTCCTTGCAAATCCTTCGCAAATCACCTCTCCACAGTAAAAATTCACCCCCAGAGAGACGGGCTTTGCAAAGTTGTATCCAATCGCTGGGCGTAAGGTTGAACTTAAGGAAGGATTCCAGCAATGTTATAGTGAAGGAAGCGCGAACACCATAAGCAACGACTGCCTTCTTTAATTGATTGACCATTTTAAAGGTCAGAGAGTCAGGCTGTCTAATACTAAGTACTTGCTGGCCAAGAGTTCCTTCAGTAGGATAGACCGACCTATTTCTACCGAGATTATCAGGCCTGTTTGAAAACTCTCGAGCTCCCGCCTCCAGATTAATAGGGGCGAAAGCTGTAGCACAGCGGTTTAGGGTAGCAGAAAATGCTCTTTGCAGAGGAGGCCTAATGGGGGCATCTCTGTTAGTGGCCCCGCCTTTCTCCTTCTCTAGCTGTTTGGTTAGAAGTGTGATTTCGCCTTCTAATATTTCCTCTTCTTCATCTAAATTATCAATGCTTTTGACTTCTTGATCCTCAAAACTCCTGATAGAGCTCACAGATTCTACTTTCTGAATTTCCTCAAGGGTTTTGTTTAAAACCTCTAACTGTTCCTTCACCAAGACATCTTCACTAAGGAGGGCATCTCTGATAAGACGCCATAGCGACTAGATCGCTAGGGGGACGGCCTTAGTTCCCCGTTCTCTCTGTGCAACACGTAGATCAGCCCTAACTTGTTCCCAGTCCTTGATATTAAGGTTCCCAGTCAGAGAAAACCAAGGACTGAGCTCTGAAATTACCTTGATGGTCCCTTGTGCTGTGTTACCTTTGATCCTGGTGCCTAGCTTTTCCACGAGCTGCAGTAGCTGATCTGCTAACTGCCCTTCTAACTCCGGAGTGGACATTTCAGCACCCATATTCCTAAAAATCAAACTGTTCAACCTATTCACCCCCTTATCACCCGTGCACAAATGCACATTACAAAACTGGCCAGATTCCGGATCATGGGGGGACCCTCACCTCTATTTGGGGTTCTCGTGGTGGATCCACTGACTGCAGGACGCGACTATTCAATTCTTCTTTCAAGCCGACCCGAGGGACGCCATCTGTAAGAGTCTGCACTTTCCAGTGGATACCCATGCCCGACCCAGGCTGCGCGCTTTCCCGAACTTGGGCCCACGAGCATGGACGATTGTCCTGAGGGTTGAAAAAGAGACACACACACAAAGAGACCTTTGCTCATTTACCAGAGTAAATGGCAACTTTATTAAACTCAAGTCGGGTATATATACCAGTGGGCTAGAGGGATCGAAAATGCAAGGCCTCCTCCCATCCAGGAGCAGGAGGAGAAGATTAAAGCTTCCCGGCCCCTCGGGCAGGGTCAGTTAGGGGAGGCAGGCTATTGGCCCACTGCTAAGACCTTGAATACAAGTGGAATCACCATAACAAAGAGAACCAGGTTCTTGCTAAGTTATCCCCTCAAGCCAGAGCTAGTGCAGAGTCTCCAGGGAGCCGGAGGTCACACGGCCCTGCGAATCGCCAGGAGAAGGGAAAAACCTTGGTAGCTACAAGGTAATCAGAGGAATACTCCTAAATAGATTGTGGGCAGTGGGTAGGCTCGTCTTTCCCCTCTTCTCATTTCTGGCTGCAAGATTAGCTCTCTTCTGTGTTAAGTCCTCCCCATGAGACACCATGGACATCACAGGCACAGGAACGAGAGGAATGACTGATCATTAAGTCAAAACGAATCTTTCCTCTTTGTAAGTCAATCATCTCAGATATTTTATTAGAGTAGTGAAAAGCAGACTGATACAGAAAAACAGTTATATAAGAAATGTAGCTTAGGGGCCAGTGGGATGGCTCAGTGTAGGTAAAGGTGCTTGCAGCCAAACCTGGCTACCTGAGTTTGATTCCCAGAGCCCGTATGGGGGATGAAGAGATACCTCCAAACTGCCCTGTGCCCTCTGACTTCTATATGTGTACCATGGCATACATATGTGCACATGGACCCATGCACGCACACATGCATGCAAACATACACAAATAAATGAATGGAGGAAAGAAATGTAATTCAGAGCTTACTGAATTGTACTTCTTGAATGTCCCATGCCACTTCTGCTATACTGCCCCAACTAAGCAACAAAGCAAAGACTATTTACCCACAAGATGTTCATTGTCTTCTCCTCCCAACACTACAGGATAATTATTGCACGATTCCAACTACTTGCTCCACCTGAAGTAGTTAACTTCTTAGAGACAGGAAATAGAACGACAGTTGCCAGCGGTGGTAAGGAGGGGAGAGTTGGGTCGTTACTGTTTAGTGTGTGGAATTTAAGTTTGGGATGATGAAATATTGTTGGGGATGGGTTAGGACAACCTCACAACATCATAAATGTTCTTACTGACTTACACATTTAATAATGGTCTAAGTAGGTATGTTATATACATTTTACCACATTAAGATGGCTATAATACAATGTAGTCAGTACAAACAAACACAGTCCATGGTAAGGGGACTGGGTAGAACTATTTAAGATAAGATCACAGGAAGTTTCTCCTAGACAAGAATCTTTGAGTAGAAGAGAAAGAATCGGAGAGAAGAACGCTAAAGAGTGAGAACATCCCAGTTAGAAGACAGTAGTGTGAATCTAGAAGTGTTCTTCATGTATTGACAGCAGCAAAAAGGTCTACTATCCTTTATAGTGTACATGTGCATGTGTATATAGTGTGCACAGAGCATGTGTATGCTCGGGTATGTGTATGTTTCTGTATTGGAAGCAGGGAAATTGCTATGACTAGCCTCTTGAACCTGCTTATTATGGTAACTCAGTTATGAGAATTAGCAAAATGGATGTCAATTGAAGGGGAGGTGGTACTGTATTAAGGTGGACATCCATGTTGCACCCCCTGGAGGCTTCTGGGTAAATCCTTCTAAATATCTAATACAGTCCTAAAGAGAGTTGCTTATTAATCTGGGGTTGAAGGTCTTCATGGATTATCCCTTTTTAATCAGGGTTGGCTCCTTCCTCACTTGGAGGTATCTGTCAGCGTTCCCAGTTGAGTGGAACTTGGCCACTGAACCCTTGCTGTGTCAAAGTCCTATAAGTCTTTTCTGGTGAGTGGATTTTGGTTCCTCTGTTCACAGTCAAGAGATCTGATTCATGTATGAAGACTTGAGGTAAGAGGCAGGTCAGACAGAACTTAGCACTTTCTCTGTTTGCTGGGACATGTCTGTTTTCTCAATTATCTGTTGGCAAAGAAGACATTACAAGGAGAGTGCCGTGGGATCTAAGGCCTAAGGACTGAGGTGTTATGGTTTCCTAGTGAGGAATAGCTAGAAGAAAGCCTTGAAGGACAGATGTGATGGTGGCAGAGGCATTCTAGACAGATGTGGCTAATTGCCAGCACTTTTGTCATGCACCATCTAGGAAGTAGAAAGAAATCTATTAGAGAGAAATTTACAGAGAAAATGCTGTCCCAGTAACCCTGTCTTGCGGTGTGGAAAGGAACTACCAAGAAGTGCATTCAGAGTGGAGCTAGTAGACTTACTATGTGATCAGAGTCTGGCCCTGTGTCTTTTAATCACTAGCCTATAGTTTACTGTTGGAAACCGGGGAAGAATAACTGGCTGGTCTTGGAGAGGAGAAGTCATCTATTCCAGCGTAAAAAGAGGATATAGGCTGCAGTTGGTGTCCAAGTGTAGGAAGGTGAGATCCTTCAGAACAGTGCGCTCCATTCATTCCCATCCTCCAAGGCACCAGGCGTTAGTGAATTGGTAATGTGAAGTTGTTCTGCTCTCACTGCCGTGAGAAGCTCATTCACAACCTGCCTGCAATGATACCAGTGACCTGGGCCCTGGTGACCTTTTTCAGAAGGGCCTTCACTGCATCTTATGTTGTTATGCCTACGTTTGTTAACTAACAGGCACAGTATCGTAAGTGATTGCTTTTCAAAATACCCACTCTGGACACTAGCAGTGAGCAATCCATATGTACAAGGTCTGTCCCCAAGTTACAGGACAGAGGTCAGTATGGTAGATCCATGCCGATGAACCGAAAGGGATGGTGTAATCTTCCATGATTTTCCCCACACCAAGGTGAGGACCATGTTCCTGTTCCCGTCACTCCTTCTCCTGGGTGTGGTAACAGCATCTTATGCAGAGTCTATAATAGAAGGTGCTCAAAGTGCCTGCCCCGTGATTGCCTGCAGTTCTCCAGGTCTGAATGGCTTACCAGGCAAAGATGGACGTGATGGTACCAAGGGTGAGAAGGGAGAACCAGGTATGCATTCAACGGCTTTCTTTGCTCTTAAAAAATTAGTTTTAATTATGCAAGGTTTGTGTGTGTGTGTGTGTGTGTGTGTGTTTGTGTGTGTATGTGTGTACACAGTTGTGTATTCAGACAGTGTCTTCTTGGAGCTGGAGTTACAGGCATGAGACACCTAGAATGGATGCTGGGAACTGAACTCATGTCCTTTGTAGTAGTAGTTCATACTCTTAACCACTGAGCCATCTCTCTAACCTCTTTCTGTGACTACATTCCGGAAGAAACTGACTGCAAATACAAGGAGGGTAAATGTTAGGCATATTGTACTTTCCTCAGCAACATACTGTAACTCAAAAACACAAAGCTCCAGTTCTCTGGCACACTGGATGCCTACACAGAAGTGTGTGATTTTTGTCTTACCTGTCCTGAAAAGTAGACTGCATGTTAGTCTGACTCATGGAACACAGAGACTTTATCTTACCGCAGGGGATTAAACATCAAACCTTTGGAAAAAGATCAGCAAAAGCATAGATTTGTTTGCCTTCCAACAGGTCAAGGGCTCAGAGGCTTGCAGGGCCCTCCTGGAAAAGTAGGACCTGCAGGATCCCCAGGGATTCCTGGGTCAAAAGGAGAAGAGGGACCAAAAGGAGCTGTGGGGCCAAAAGGAGACCCTGGAGAGCGTGTTGGTAAGGAGATCATTTCAGAATGTCTGTGCTGATGACATTTGAGGTTCTGGAGCCCAGAATGCTGGTGGGGTGTACTGTTTCTCAATACTGCAAGGGTCGATGCCCAGTTCTGTTTCCTGATCACGTTCTCATTCTGTAGGCTGTGGTGTTTTGTTTTGTTTTGTTTTTTGTCTTGTTGACCATGTCCTTTGCTTTACAGAAACTTCTCAGGAGGTCCCATTTATTAACTCTTGCTCTCAGTGTCTGTGCTATTGGTGTTATATTTAGGAAGTGGTCACATATATCAATGAAACACACTCGTATTTGTGAGAGAAGCAAATAAAGGGATCATTGATTCTCAGTCTGTCTTCAAGCTTAAATAGAGGACCAAATAGAATAGGGGACAGAAAGGACTTACAGGTAAGCAGCCCTGCTGAGGGGTGCTTTCATTGATGATTGTCCCCAGCTGTGGTTCAGAGAGGCAGGCTAAAGAAATACCTCTTGCCAGTATCACTTGATACTGATACCAGTCTGATTCCCACAAGCGGTCGTTTCTGTTCTACACTGTTGGCCTGCCCTCACGGGGAACTGCCTTATCTTGGAAGGGAGTCTGCCCTGTAAGAATTTGATCTGCCTGGACTCTGATGATGACACCAGCCTTGCACTGTTGTCCTGGAGGAGGGTGAGGTGGGTTCAAAAGGCAGTGTGTGGCCACCTAGCCTGCTGCCGTGCAGAGGTAAAGAGGTGGTCCAGAGTAAACGAACACGAAGTGGAGACAGGAATGACAGGAAGGACACTCATTCTTTCTACCTTTATGTGCCTTGTAAGTTTAAGCAAGGAGTCAAATCTTTATTATTTATTTATTTAAGCAAAAGTAGCTACTAAGTGCCTATTTTAGATAAAGTATCAGGCAAAGATTGATATTTTAGGTCAGGTAAAAACAGATTGTTTTCTCTGTTAAAGTATATCAACCTTAAAAAATAAAAGTAAACGTTGCTTCTTTTTTTTTTTTAAATCTGAAAAAGATACCACACTCCCCAATAGGCAAAGTTTTCATCCTCACCCTAACAGTGGTTTTTGCTGTTTAATTTTCTAGAATCTGACACCAGAGAAATTGATGCAAAAATCTCAGCTCTGGAATCAGAGCTGAGAAGCCTTAAGAGGTGTAAGTACCCTTCCTCTCTTGTTCAGGCAACCTCAAATTTGGGAATGGCGGAAGGCAGAGAATACTCACTGCCCGCATATGGTTTTCTAGGACCTGGAAAAAATCGCTCATATTCTGATCTCATAATACCCTCCCAACAATCATTTGGGAGAAATAGAGGAAGATGGGAATACAATTACTTACTCAAATTCACAGAGTTCAGTGGTAGAATCAGCTTCTACCTTGCAGTGAGTGTGACTCCAGGACCGCCGTCCTGTGAAAATAGAATGTGGGCTCCTTTGTAATGCTGGGATCTAGACCAGACAATGGAGTCAATCATGCGTCTCCCGGCTGTGGCTAGATAGTTCCAGACATTTTTGTTCAATTGTAAGTTAGCAGTATGATAGAATTTAGAACTCCAAATTACATGTGCTCTGTAATGCAGACCTAAGTCTACAAAGGCATTGGGCCTATTGATTCATATTAACATGGCAAGGAAAAGCAGCAAGGTAAACAGTTCAACTTGAATTTTAGATAAAAGAAGCATGTTTTGATTTGTGTGAACATTTCACAAGGGGGCTCATGAAGGAAGGCACTCTGTGGTCTGTACTATCAGAGAAACTGCAGTATACACCTTTCAGTTGGAATTTTACACAATGAGTGATCTAGAAAATAAGCCAGTGTCTCCCATCTTTTTACGTTTTAGGGATGCTCTTTTTTAGGAGTGAACAAGTCGGAAAGAAGTTCTTTGTGAGCAGTGGTCGAAAGACAAACTTTGATGAAGCGAAGACTCTGTGCTCCCTAATACAGGCCTCCGTGGCCACTCCCAGGAATGCTGAGGAAAACAGGGTCCTCCAGAGCATGACTAAAGACATCACTTACCTGGGCATAACAGATAAGAGGATTGAAGGCCAGTTTGAGGATTTGAGAGGAATGATAGTGCACTACACTAACTGGGCTGCTGGTGAGCCCAATAACATGGACTTTAAGGAACACTGTGTGGTGCTCTTGTTGGATGGCATGTGGAATGATATCCCCTGCTCTGACACCTTTTTAGCAGTCTGTGAATTGTCTCAGTGAGGGGGCTTTCCTTCTCAGTCCTCCTGGATCTTTTACTGGCCTCCATAAGTCCACAATTTGTTCTGAAATATAAAATATAAACTATTAAACATTAACTGCCCAATTAAACTAGAACCCTTTTTCTGGAATAGTATTTTCTTGTGAAGGTGCAAAAATAAAACGAGCGTGGCCTTTTCATTTATGATGAACATGTGTGCTCTACTGAGTCCTCTTTTCGCTTTGGGTTGGTGACTTCCAGGGTAGTGACATCACCCTAGCTAATTTCATAGTTTCTATGCCCAGTCTCAGGTATTAAAGAGTCTACTTATAACCTTATTTCCTTCCTTCCTAATGCGGTGTTAAACTATGTACAGAATTTAAGTGTAACGTAAACAGATTAAATGAATTCTCTCTCTCTCTCTCTCTCTCTCTCTCTCTCTCTCTCACACACACACACACACACACACACACGCACACACACACACACACACACTCAGACACACCATTCATCCATTTTCCACCCATCCATCATCATTCATCTGTCTGTCTGTCTGTCTGTCTATCTATCTATCTATCTATCCATCTAATAACATCTGTAGGTAGAGGCATAGACATTTTCCTAGAAATCTCTTAATACTTCTCCTAGATACTGTTCCCAAAGGTAAGTATGATTTTGATATGTATCATAACAAATTAATTTTGTTTATAAAATTCATAGACAGAATCATATTGTATGTACTGTCTTATGTCTTACATTTGCTTCATTCACAATTAAGCACGCGGTGTTCATACATGTTATAGACAGCAGCAGTTCATTCCTCTCATTGCTGTGAAGAACTCCTTTAAATTAAAACAGCGTACTTTACCTTTTTATTCTTAATGAACACAATTGAATGGCTTTTAGTTTTTGGTTATTGAGAAAAAATTCTCGGGGCTGGAGAGTTGACTCCACTGTTAGGAGCAGATATTGCTATCAGACAACTCAAAAACCCCTGTACCTCCAGTTACAGGGACCATGACACCCTCTTCCAAGCTTCATGGACACATGCACTCATGGGTACACACTGACACATATGCACATAGTTAAAAATAATTTTAAAAAGAAGCCCTCAGGAACCTTTCTTTGGTTGGTATGTGCACTAACTTGGTGATTGGTTGGTGGTGGTAGGGGAAGCATGCATTTAGATTCAGTTGAAAGGACCCACACTTCCATCAACAATACCTGTCAGCTGTAGACACTCTAAGTCTCAGGGAAGAGGTTGTACTTCAATCCTTTTGATTTTGGCCATTCTTGTATGTATAAAATGATGCTGCTGTGTTTTTATTTTGTTTCCCCAATGTGCTATAATGATGAAAGCATTCCACGTGGTAATTGCTAACCTACACACCTTTTGTGATCTGTCCAAAGCTATTGTATTTTGCTGTAATCAATCTGTACTTTACATATTGAATTACAGGTACTTTTTAACATTCAGAATACAAATATTTTCTGTTTATGTTCATCATAGGCACCTTTTTCAGCTCCTCACTTCTTCAATTATTGGCTTTCGATGAATATAAAGAGCCTAATAAAAGAACTTCTTGTGTGTGTGTGTGTGTGTGTGTGTGTGTGTGTGTGTGTGTGTGTGT